CGGTCTTCGCCCACTGCAGTGAGTAGGGGCAGGCTCCGGCCTGGTGCGGGGCGCAGAGGCCCGGGTGGGCTCCTCCCTGGTATCCTGTCCACACCGGGCCGCGGGCGAGCAGGGATGGGGGAGGGGGCGAAGGAGACAAAGGATGCTCTCCCCTCCCCCCGCGATCTAGCGGCAACGGGGGCGACCTGACCCGGAGGACTTGAGTGACACAGGGCGGAGTTGGGGGGCACTGAGATAACTGGCGTGGGGGCGCGCTGGGCGCTGGGGTGTGTGGCCAGGCCTCGCCCCGGGGATGAGGACGTTTGCCGGGAGCTGTCCCCATGCCTGGTGCTGGCCGCTGCGGGCGGGGAGGGCGGTTGAATGGAGGGGTAGAATCAGGATGGAAAAGAGAAGTCTGACACCCCCTCCCCCCCGTCACCCACCTTCGCATCCCACCTCTGTTTTCTGCCCTGACTCACAGGCAGCCCCGACCTCGCCCAAACTGTCCAACCCCCTGTCCCTGGGAAGCAGCCATTCCTGGGTTGGGGCGAGGACTCCCGGGTCCTTCGCAGGCGTTACCACTGGTTAGGAGTAACCCTGGAAGAGACTCTGGTTCCTGGCATCCCATTCCCCAGCGAAGGAAACAAGATGGGAGCAGACGGAGTCTGAGTCCAATTTCCAAAGGCTTTTGAGCATCTCCTGTAGGCAAAGCCCCAAGCTCGGTAGCTGTGAGGGGCTGGATTCCACAACTGAAAAAGCCTGTCTGACCCTCGCGATCTCTGCGCCCAGGGCTCTCGTAGTCCTTGTCTCGCATTCTGTCCCACACTCCCGTGGTTCTGACAGCTGGGGATTTCAACACTCTCAGATCTAGCCAATTGCCTGTCTGGGAAGTCCAGATGCCAAAATTCTAAGAATTTGTTATTTCAACATTTTAGCGTATCATCCCCAAATTCTAAGGTCTTTACTGGGCTTGTAAAGGGTGGCCCTACATGATCTCCCACCTTATTTATCATCCCTCATCCCCCACCCTTCTTCCCCCCAGTTATCCGGCTCCAAGCGCATGTTTGCACCTCTCTTTTCCTCAAGTATGCCAAACAGTGCCTGCCTCAGGGCCTTTGCACTGAGCTTTTCCATCTGCCTGGAAGATTCTTCCTAAATACCTGCTTGGATTCTTCATTCAGACCTCCGCTCGAATGTCATCTTATCAGAGAAGTCTTCTCACCACCCTGTCTGAAGGAGCACCCTCTCTCGGTCTCTTCCCTTATCAAGCTCTTTTCTCCACACACTTAAAGCCCCAACGTCATCTATTTACTTGTTTATTGTCTGTCTCCTCTAGAAGCTTTTGAGGGCAGGGGTTTTGTCTGTATTGTTCGCAGTTGTATCCTTGGGGTTAAAACAGTGCCCAGCCCATAGTGGGCATTCACCAAATGGTTGTTGAAAGAATGAGTGAATTGATACCTCCTAAGACTCCTAATTTGAAGAGTCTGAAATTAGGGTTCCTGGACTTGAACTTCTAAGACTGAGCTTCTGATAGACATGAGTTAGGCTTGCCCAGCCGGTGTGGCTCAGTGGTTGAGTGTCAACCTATGAACCTGGAGGTCACGGTTCCATTGCTGGTCAGGGCACGTGCCTGGACTGCGGGCTTGATCCCCATTGTGGGGTGTGTAGGAGGCAGCCAATTAATGATTCTCTCTTACCATTAATGTTTCTATCTCTCTCTCCCTCTTCCCTCCTTTCTGAAATCAATAAAAATGTATTTTTTTTAAAAAAAGAAGTGAGTTGCCCTGACTGGTTTGGCTGAGTGGATAGAGCGTCGGCCTGCGGACTGAAGGGTCCCAGGTTCGATTCCGGTCAAGGGCATGTACCTTGGTTGCGGGCATATCCCCAGTAGGGGGTATGCAGGAGGCAGCTGATCGATGTTTCTCTCTCATCAATGTTTCTAACTTTCTATCTCTCGCCCTTCCTCTCTGTAAAAAAATCAATAAAACATATTTTAAAAAAATAAAAAAAGAAATGAGTTAGGCTTTACAGTCTGTGTGCAAATGTTGTAAAGGCCCTGGGACTCAAATATTCTAAGATTCCTTAACTCCGACCATCCAGGTTCCCAGGACTGGCACACTTCAGTGGTCAGACAGTCTAAACTTCTAAGAATCTTTGCTTTTTTCCCCCCCTCTCCCAGAAGAAGCTCCGTCTACGGCCTCCTCTACCCCTGACTCCACGGAAGGTAAGCGGAGGGGGAGGACGTGAAAATGTGACTTGAAAGAGGCTCACGGCTGGGGAGGAGGTGAGGAGGGTGGTCAGGGTCCTCCTCCCAGGAGCTCACGCCTGCTTTGCTCACCGCAGGAGGGAACGACGACTCGGATTTTCGGGAGCTGCACACAGCCCGGGAGTTCTCGGAGGACGACGAGGAAGAGACCACGTCGCAGGACTGGGGCACCCCCCGGGAGCTGACCTTCTCCTACATTGCCTTCGACGGCGGGGTGGGCTCCGGAGCGCGCCGGGATTCGGCTGCCCGCCGGCCCCGGCCCCAGGGCCGCTCGGTCTCGGAAACGAGAGACCCACCCCCCCAGCCCGGCCTGGGCGACAGCCTGGAGAGCATCCCCAGCCTGAGCCAATCCCCGGAGCCTGTGCGCCGGGGAGACCCTGACACTGCCCCGCAGGCCGAGCGCACCCCGGAGGACCTGGGGCTCCCGCTGGACCAGCTGGACTGGGTGGCCCGGGGAGCGGGGTCCGGGGAGGACTCTGCCACCAGTAGCTCCACGCCCCTGGAAGACGAGGAGCCCGACGGGTCGGAGGCCAGAGACGCTGGGAAAGGTGAGATGTCCCCACGTGCTGGGACCAGTCACCAGGGGCGGGTAGTTAGACTCTTCCCAGGGCACCTCCAAGGTGAGAGCTCATGGCCTTCTCTCTCTAACGCGCCAGAACTGGACCTACAACTCGAATTCGCTCAGTCCTCGCCGCCCGGCGCCTTGACTCCACCATCCAGGCCTGGCTCTGGGACCCCCCAGGCCCGGACCCCGTCCCCACCCGGATCCCGGGATTCGAACTCATGGCCTGCTGAGCCCTCGCTGGACGAGAAAGAGGAAGAGCCTAGGAGGCAGCTGGATCGGGAACCAATCACGGGGCAGTGCCTTGTTAGCACGGACCAATCAGAATCCACACTGGAACCACACCTTCTAGGTAAACTGCTCGAGTGAAGGTGCTCCTTCGGATCACAGCGAGGGTGGGAGGGTTGCAATTTGAAGGGACCAACTTCGCGAAGGAATGGAGAGTGGAGAAGGGAGGCTGGACATATGAATTCCGCCCTTTAAATGCCCATTATCTAAGATTGCCATTGGCTCTTATTTTCTTTTTCTTTTCTTTTCTTTTTTGTCATTGGCTCTTTTTATATAGATTTCCACTGGGAAGTTAGCCCTTTTTTTCGAGCATTAGGATTGACTGATTGCTAAAAAGTAAAAAATGAATAAATCCCTCTTTTGGAGTGCTCCCCCTAGAGGCTGATTGTGGAACAGGCCGAACCCCAGGAAAAAATAAAGCTCTCTTCTTCATGTGGCTGTGGGACAGTCACAAGTAAACTCTGTGCCTTTCAAAAACTCCTCTCCCCGGACCACACCCGCCAGCCAGCGGCAAGCACACGCCGCGTTACTTTAGAATATGCTCGGCCTCCACGAACCGCCAAGGGCTGGCCGCTTACAGACACCACGGCTGGGGGCTGTTTACAAAGAGAACCACCCCCTTTTGGAACTGTCCCCACCTCCGTGGAGAGCCATTGGCTGGGTGCGAAGGGGCCCCGCCCCCCCTGCTCCCTCCCTCTGGGTTCCACTGAAGTGGGCAAAAGCCCCGAGAAGCGGTGGAGTCCGCAGCCTTTCACGCGGAGCAGAGATGGGGAGTAAAGGTGGGCCTGCGGGGCGGGCTGGGATCGGGGCTGGGGGGCGGCGGAAAGGGATCCAGATTCGCTACCGCCCTCAAGTCTGGGAGGATGCTTCCTATTGGTCCCAGATTCCCCAGAGCTGCAGGCTGAGGCTGGGGGGATTTGGGGGTGTCGAGGGAGAGCGCGGAGGGAGCGTGGGGTACCCTCTCCCCCAAGACAGGGCTTTGGAGTCTAAGAGCTGGAAGGCACCCTCCCCCAGCCTCGGGCCCAGGCGGCGCTGTCACTCCGGAGCTGGATGGGCCAGCACAGCTGCAGGCCAGGGTCCCAGATTCCCCAGAGCTGCAGGCTGAGGCTGGGGGGATTTGGGGGTGTCGAGGGAGAGCGCGGAGGGAGCGTGGGGTACCCTCTCCCCCAAGACAGGGCTTTGGAGTCTAAGAGCTGGAAGGCACCCTCCCCCAGCCTCGGGCCCAGGCGGCGCTGTCACTCCGGAGCTGGATGGGCCAGCACAGCTGCAGGCCAGGCCCCCTCTGCCCTAGTTAAAGGTAGATGGGAGGGTGTGTACAGGGAGGATACGAAGGGGAGTCAGGCTCCGAGAAGAACCGTCGGGATGGGTCAGGGTTTGATTGGAGTGAGGGTGAGCGGATGAAGAGCGTCTGGAAAGAAGTGGAAGGGTCTGCGCTCCTGGTTAGCGGATTATTGGGAGGCAGATACAGTGTAGATGGGTGAGATGAAACACAGGGTCTGGAGGTTGTGTTTTTTTTTTTTAATTTTAAAAATATATTTCTTTATTGATTTCAGAGAGGATTTATTTTTTATTTTATTGGATTTTTACAGAGAGGAAGGGAGAGGGAGAGAGAGATAGAAACATCAATGATGAGAGAATCATTGATCGGCTGCCTCCTCATGCCCCCCACTGGGAATCGAACCCTGGACCCTTCAGTCCGCAGGCCGACGCTCTATCCACTGAGCCAAACGGACTAGAGCTGGTCTGGAGGTTACTAATAGGACTTGGGAGGAGGGTCTTAGAAAGAGGTCAGAAATGTGGGTGAGATGCTTAAGAAGGAGGGTGGGTTAGTAATACATTTAGGACTTAGAAAAATGTGCTGGTAGGAATATCAAGGAGCTATCACTTTACACTATCAGGTTGCCCCAAAATATAAAGAACAGTAACGCCCACTGCTGGGCAGGATGCTGGGGAAAGATCACCATTGCTTTGCTCATGGAGAAGAGAATTGTTACACAGTCTTGCTAGTAAGCCATCTGGGAGTATTTATGACTGCTTTACACGATCAGGTTGCCCCAAAATATAAAGAACAGTAACACCCACTGCTGGGCAGGATGCTGGAAAAAGATCACCATTCGCTTTGCTCATGGAGATGAGAATTGTTACAGTCTTGCTAGTAAGCCATCTGGGAGTATTTATGACATCCACCCAGCCGTTCCACCTTGGGATTCTCTCTCAGAGAGAAGAGCCCTAACTGGTTTGGCTCAGTGGATAGAGCATCAGCCTGCGGACTGAAGGGTCCCAGGTTCGATTCCGGTCAGGAGCATGTACCTTGGTTGCGGGCACATCATCAGTAGAGGGTGTGCAGGAGGCAGCTGATCGATGTTGTTTCTCTCTCATCAGTGTTTCTAACTCTTTATCCCTCTCCCTTCCCCTCTGTAAAAAAAATCAATAAAATATATTTTAATAAATAAAGGGTCATAAACCTTTTCCCCCTCTTTTCTCTGAGAACTGATCCTCGCTTATTTTACCGAACATCTTGATTTTTGTTTGCTAGATTTCTCCTTCCTTGAACTCTATGAACTACCCCTTCTTTGTACCTTGTCACAGTGTCTCTCTCTGTTCCACCTCCCTGGCTATGAAATTCCCACTTCATTTCTCACTGGTTCTTTTTGTGTGTGAAACGTGTGTATATGCGATTCCATTTTTCATACATAATGACCAAAAGTTGGGTCCACACATCATCTATGCTTGGAGTAAGATAAAGAGACTTGCTAGATGGTTAACTTGGGTTTTCCAAGAGGGGGAGAGGGGAGGCAATATGGAATAAAAGAAGACACTAAAACGTTGGAAATTGGGTTAAGGCTGACACAGCTGTGTCAAGGGGTCATGGTTCAGCCCTGAGACAGGTGGGAGGTCAAGAGGTCAGCCAGGCCAGGCCCAAACCCCAGCCTGATTGCTCCCCTCCTCCACAGTGGCGGACTTGCTGTACTGGAAGGACACGAAGACATCAGGAGGAGGGAAGATAGATCGAGATATGTGTGATGCAGAAACGTGTGTATATGCGATTCCATTTTTCATACATAATGACCAAAAGTTGGGTCCACACATCATCTATGCTTGGAGTAAGATAAAGAGACTTGCTAGATGGTTAACTTTTCCAAGAGGGGGAGAGGGGAGGCAATACGGAATAAAAGCAGACACTAAAACGTTGGAAAATGGGTTAAGGCTGACACGGCTGTGTCAAGGGGTCATGGTTCAGCCCTGAGACAGGAGATGGGAGGTCAAGAGGTCAGCCAGGCCAGGCCCAAACCCCAGCCTGATTGCTCCCCTCCTCCACAGTGGCGGACTTGCTGTACTGGAAGGACACGAAGACATCAGGAGTGGTCTTCACAGGCCTCATGGTCTCCCTGTTGTGCCTCCTGCACTTTAGCATCGTGTCCGTGGCCGCCCATGTGGCCCTGTTGCTGCTCTGTGGCACCATCTCTCTCAGGGTTTACCGAAAAGTGCTGCAGGCCGTGCACCGGGGGGACGGTGCCAACCCCTTCCAGTGAGAACCCCCAGCCCTGACCCTGACTCTCCAGACCCCAGTGCTGACCCTAAGTCATGACCTATGACCTCAGTTCAGGCACCAAGTTCTCACCCTGGTCCTGACCCCATCCTATTCCTCTTTCTGACTCCAACCTGGCCCTGCCCCTGACTAAACCATGCTCTGAGCTGTCAATTGCAGCCCTAACCTGTAATCCTAATCTCTTAGCCTTAACCCTTGATCCCATCTCCTGACCCTAACCCTGACCTTGACCTTAGCCCTCTACACCTGGCCTTCCTCCAAACCCCATTTCTTGCCCTTGTCCCAGCCACACCTCTCAGCCTGAGCCCCACCCACCCATTGAGTCACCTCACACCCCTTTGTCCTCTCAGGGCCTATCTGGACGTGGACCTGACCCTGACTCGGGAGCAGATAGAACGTTTGTCCCAGCAGATTGCCTCCAAAGTGGTCTCTGCGGCCACCCAGCTGCGGCATTTCTTCCTGGTAGAAGACCTCGTGGACTCCCTCAAGGTGCCCAAAGCCCCCCTTCTCTCCTGGGTTCCCAACCATTCACCTTCCTGCCCCTGGGGGGTAAGAGGGCCATTTCTGGGTAAGTTCAGAGCCTGGGGAGTGCCTTATAAGCTCTGCTGACCCTGACCCTGACCCTCACCCCCAGCTCGCCCTTCTCTTCTACATCTTGACCTTCGTGGGTGCCGTCTTCAATGGTTTGACTCTTCTCATTCTGGGTGAGCTGGGAAGGCTGTGGACAGATGTCCCAACCAGGGACAAGAGGACCAACTGGTGTTTCTGCCCCTGGAAGGATCAGGGTCTGACTGATCAGGCACAGGTGCTCTGGCTGCTGCCCCTCAATAGAGCTAGAGTCTAACCCAGTGATGGCGAACCTTCTGAGCTCGGCGTGTCAGCATTTTGAAAAACCCTAACTTAACTCTGGTGTCGTGTCACATATAGAAAATTTTTGATATTTGCAACCATAGTAAAACAAAGACTTATATTTTTGATATTTATTTTATATATTTAAATGCCATTTAACAAAGAAAAATCAACCAAAAAAATGAGTTCGCGTGTCACCTCTGACACGCGTGTCATAGGTTTGTCATCACTGGTCTAACCAATACATTTAAACAGCCAGAGACAGGCGTTTTGATGGGTGTCCCCTGACGGAGCCAGGATTTGACTGACATTCCCCAGCCCAAGGCGGGTGGACTGACTGATGCTCCTCGCTGACGATGCGCCCGGGGTCTGACTGGCAAGTCCAGTCTAACTGATGTCTTCCTTCCCTGCCACAGCCTCACACGGAACAACACTCATCCTAGCCAGAAACAGGCAGACAGATGAATGCCTTCTCCCCCTGACACCACCAGAGACTGACAAACACATAGCCCAGCTGCAGACAGACAGACAAACCGCTGCCATCTATCCTTACACGTACTCTAGGTCTGATGGACACCATCCCAGGCAGCACAGGTGGACCGACTGGTGCTCTCACTCCCTGAAGTTGCCAGGGACTGACGTCTCCGGCAGAACGGGTGGATGACTTCTGCCCAGAATGCTGACAGAACCAAGACCAACTGACATGTATCCTGTCCAGAGACAGACAGAGGGACTGACATTCCCTCCTCCAGCACAGCCGAGAGTCAAATAACGCATGTCCCTCCCAGAGATAGGCCTAACTTCTTCACATGCTGGAATCATCCAGACCTCAAAGTCAACCGACACTACGGATTAAACGAGTATTTAAATCAATGACAGCTAACACCAATGCCTCTACTTTCACTCTATCCCTAAACACACACACACACACACACACACACACCCCTCACTCAGAGATTAACAGTCATCCCAGGAAACAGACTCACTGTCAAATTCTCAAGTCTACCTATGACATCACTCCCCACACAGAGTGTGGCCCAATCGACTGATACTTCAACTTGAACTTCTGTCTCTCAGGGCATTTTCTCAGGTTTAAAGTTTAGTTTCGTTTATTTTAAAAATATATTGTATTGATTTTTTTACAGAGAGGAAGGGAGAGGGATAGAGAGTTAGAAACATCGATGTGAGAGAAACATCGATCAGCTGCCTCCTGCACACCTCCTACTGGGGATGTGCCCACAACCAAGGTACATGCCCTTGACCGGAATCAAACCTGGGACCGTTCAGTCTGCAGGCCGACACTCTATCCACTGAGCCAAACCGGTTAGGGCACAGGTTTAAAGTTGAAAGTGGAGTCATCCCCCCAAATCCTGACTTGGATGTGGGGGAGAAAGCAGCCTCCTGCATAAATTAGGAAGAGGAACCCCCCTCTAATCTCTCCTTTGATCCTTTCTTGGTCTCCCCAGGCCCAGATCGACCAGTATGTGGGATTGGTGACCAATCAGTTGAGCCACATCAAAGCTAAGTAAGGGCATGGGATGGAGAGGGGTCAGATGGGGAAGGGGGGAATGTGAGAACTCCCTATTCCCTGTCCCTAAATCTCCTGGGGCTGAATGCCCCTTTATCAGAGTAGGGTGCCAGACAATTCCAACGCAAGCCATTAGCTGGAGGGCAGGGCTAGTCCCCCAACCTAGCTTTCCCCTTACTTCTCAGAATTGCTAATTTTTCATTCTCAGCAGCATCTTGCCCCTCTTGACTCTACCTGTTTCTCCCTCAGGATCCGAGCTAAGATCCCAGGGACCGGAGCCCTTGCCTCAGCAGCAGCCTCAGTCTCCGGATCCAAAGCCAAAGCCGAATGAAAAGGGCGTCTCTGTCCGCGGGACGCCTGCCCCCACCACCTGCAGCCCCTTGTCCCCCTCGGTCTCCCTCTCATCCCCACCCTCTTCCCTTCTCAGCCCCAGCCATATCCCGGTGGGTGTCTGGATCACTCACACCCGGCGCAAATTGCCTGAGCGGCCAGGACTACATTTCCCAAGAGGCTCTGCTCCAGGAGTCCAGGAAAAGCGAGGCACCTTGGCCGAGGTCCTGCTGGTACTTGTAGTTGTCTAGCTAGGGCACCCGCCCTGCACTTACCCCGCCGCTGGAGGCGCCGTGAGGGCTTGGTGTCTTCTGGACGCTACTGGGCCCAAGCCAGGGCTTTGCATGGGGCCCAGGGGCGGCCTGAGCTTGGATTTACACTGTAATAAAGACTTCTGTGGAAACCCAAGGTTTCTTGTTCTTCAAGCCCCCTCCAGCTTTCACCTTCCTTCCGGAAAAAGTACTTAAGCGACACTCAAGGAGGCACTTTCCCCATCTCTGCAGAAGCCCCCTGGACCATCTGTTTAGAATTCAGTGGTTCTCAACCTTCTGGGCCTTTAAATACAGTTCCTCATGTTGTGACCCCCCCATAAAATTCTTTTCGTTGCTACTTCATAACTGTAATGTTGCTACTGTTATGAATCGTAATGTAAATATCTGATATGCAGGATGGTCTTAGGCGACCCCTGTGAAAGGGTCGTTCGACCGCCAAAGGGGTCGCGACCCACAGGTTGAGAACCGCTGGTTTAGATACTGAAATGATTGCGGGGAGGAGGCAGAGAGATTGATTGCCCACCCAAGAGCTAACCAATCCTTGGCAGCCACTTTTTTTTTTTTAAGGAGGAACGCGTTTTTTGTTTTTTGTTTTTAATATTTTATTGATTTTTACAGAGAGGAAGGGAGAGAGATAGAGAGTTAGAAACATCGATCAACCCGCAACCAAGGTACATGCCCTTGACCGGAATCGAACCTGGGACCCTTCAGTCCGCAGGCCGATGCTCTTTCCACTGAGCCAAACCAGCTAGGGCGGCCACTGCGTTCTGAACAACTGACCCGCGAACATATCCAACTCATCACTCCCCCTACCTGATTTCATATAGGGACGTCCTCTCTGCCCACATTGTCACCAGGCCTGAGACTCGGATTTGGCCCTGGACTTCTACTCCCTCACCCCTCCCACCGAATCAACCACGAAGCCATGTCTATTCCAGCTCCCAAACTTCTCTCATCCACCCACTTCACTCTGTTCCAATTGCCTGGGACCAAACACCAGGCCTCATGGCCTCTATGGCCCTCAGGTTCCAAAACTGTAACCTGAGGGAGGGAGAGAAATGACACTAAAGTGTGAAGATTCGCAGACCTGAACTTGAATTCCAGCTTCACTACCCCTTGGCTGGGTGACCTTGAGCAAGTGACTTCACCTCTTGAAGCCTGGTTTCCTCAAATGAAAAAGTGTCTCCCTAACCATATCTACGTGCAAAGCCCTTGTCACAGGGCCTGGCACATAATAAATGTCCATTAAACAGAAGCTGCTATTGTTATCTGTGACATGATTTCTCAAACCCCAGTCCTTCCTTCAGAACCTTCATGATCATTCTGTCACCTGTTCTGCTACTTACCTATATTTTTCTTCAAATTGGTTTATATATAAAAAAAAAAAAGCCCTGGATGGGTTGATTGGAGTTGTCCTCCCGTACACGGAAAGATTGTGGGTTGATTCCCAGTCAGGACACATACCTGGGTTACCAGTTCAATCCCCAGTGGAGCATGTATAGGAGGCAAAGGATCTCTCTCTCTCTCTCTCTCAATTATTTTTATTTTTTTAATATAGATTTTTAAAATATGTTTTTATTACTTTATGGAGGGAGGGAGAGGGGTAGAGAGATAGAAACATCAATGAGAGAGAAACGTCAATTGGCCCCCCACCAGGGATCAAGCCGGCAACCCTGCCGGGAATCCAACCGTGACCTCTTGGTTCCTAGATCCATGCTCAACCACTGAGCAACACAAGCTGGGCTTGGGGAGGATTAAAAAAAAAAAAAAAAGGACAAATTTCCTTTTTTTAAAGGAAATGTTATTTCATCACTAAGGAAATCAGTATCACTTGCCAGAAATAGATGATAACAGTAACAATAAACACAAAATTATTAACATTTAAAATGTTTGTTAGTAATAGAATAACAGATCTTGGAGGGGTGGGCAGGAAGAGATTAACCAAAGAACACATATGCATACTAGAGGCCCAGTGCACAAAATTCGTGCACTTGCGTGTGTTGGGTGGGGGGAGAAGGGGGGGGTTCCTCAGCCCAGCCTGTGCCCTCTAGTAGTCCAGGAGCCCTCAGGGGATGTGCCACTGACAGCTTAGGCCTGCTGCCGCCCCCACCCCCACCCCCGCTGCACTCACCAGCCGTGAACCTGGCGGCTTCTGGCTGAGCTGAGCTCCCCCTGTGGAAGCACACTGACCACCAGGGGGCAGCTCCTGCATTGAGCGTCTGGCCCCTGATGGTCAGTGAGCACCATAGCAACCAGTGGTTCCACTGTTTGGTCAATTTGCATATTACCCTTTTATTATATAGGATAGACACAGACACTATCATGGGGAAATCCTGGGGTGGGGCAGGGGTTGGGTGGAGGGGGGCAAAAAGGGAGGAAATGGGAGACATCTGTAATACTGTCAACAACAAAATAAAATGTACAACCTAAAATCATTTCACTTGCCTCTAGCAACACATGTTACATTTTAGGAGACAGATGATGTTACAGGAGCAATAGTTATACAAGCGTTGCCTAGCCATGACTATCTAACTAAAAGAAAGGGGTTTAGTGGAGGCTTTTCTCAAATCTGGATTTACTAAGCAGAGACAACTTTTTAAATTTCCAAATTTTAAAAATCAACAGCAAAATTTCATAAAGATGCTTTTATTCACACTTTCTATAAGACAAAGTGTTAATTTGTCCGTATTAAAGAATGGAAGAAGAAGGACTGGTCAAAATTATGGGGGGAAAAAGAGGGTCATATGTGATACTTTCAACAATAAAGAATTTTTTAAAAGAATGTTTATATAACAATTAAATAAAGTGGGGGCTGGGGGATAAATTACAGGTCCAGGAATGGCTGAAGTCCCGAGCCCATCCTTGGCACCCCCACTTTCCATCCCAGAGGCAGAACACAGGCTGGATATTGAAGCAGCCTTTACTGATTGCCTCCTAGTTGCCTGGTCCTGTGCCATATATTTTTTAAATTTCTTTATTGATTAAGGTATTACATATGTGTCCTTATCCCACCATAACCCCCGGTGCCATATTTTTATACCTATCTGCTCATTACCATTCCTCCAGTGAAATCAGTTATACTCCTCTTGTTTTCCAGGTGGGGAAACTGAAGCTTAGGGAATCCTATATAATAAAAGCCTAATATGTTAAGTGTCTGGTCGTCCAGTTGGCCATTCAACCAATCAAAGCATAATATGCTAATGATATGCTAAGGCCACTCAATCACTCGCTATGATGTGCACTGACCACCAGGGAGCAGAGGCTCAACGCGGGAGTTGCCCCCTGGTGGTCAGTGCACTCCCACAGGGGGAGCAGCTCCTGTGTTAAGCCTCTGCTCCCTGGTGGTCAGTGCACTCCCACAGGGGAGCACTGCTCAGCCAGAAGCCCTGAGCCGGACTCATGGCTGGTGATCACAGTGGCGGTGGCGAGAGCCTCTCCTGCCTCCGTGGCAGTGCTAAGGATGTCCGACTGAGGGCTCCCCTGAGGGCTCCTGAACTGCAAGAGGGTGCAGGCCAGGCTGAGGGACCCCCCCAAGTGCATGAATTTTGTGCACTGGGCCTCTAGTCTATCTATAAAAATAAAAATAAAGGGTGTCCCAAAATTCACGCAAGAAGTAATTTTGATAGAAAACACAGGTTTATAATTAAAAATTGTAAATTTTTTATTGATTCATAAAGTATACAGTATAAGGTTATGTACGGAATAGCATATCGGGTAAATGGCCTCCATGGCTTTGCTGGCACATACACACTCTTTTGTAAAAAAAAAAAAATATTTTATTGTTTTTTTACAGAGAGGAAGGGAGAGGGATAGAGAGTTAGAAACATCGATGAGAGAGAAGCATCGATCAGCTGCCTCCTGCACACCCCCTACTGGGGATGTGCCTGCAACCAAGGTGCATGCCCTTGACCAGAATCGGACCTGGGACCCTTCAGTCCCCAGGCCGATGCTCTATCCAGTGAGCCAAACCAGCCAGGGCTTACATACGCACTCTTTTGTTATTGCCTGAGCAGCCACATTTTCAAAGAAGAATGGTCCGATGATGCCTCCAGCCCAAAATCTGCACCAGACAGTGACACGTTGTGGATGCATTTGTTTCTCAACAATC